TGTGACTGAACCATCTTAAATTCAAAAACATTTGAATTAGGATTACTCAAAAATTCTTATAGGAAATTGAAAGAATCCTATTATAATTTTTATATAAAAACATAGAGAAAAAATGTTTTAAATAATTTTATATTACATTTTCGGTTCTTAATATAGTAATTTAAACTTCTTTTTATCAATCAGTCATGGCTCAAAGTGGAAATCCAGAAGGAGATTATTGACCCCCTCTTTCCATTTCGAAATTTTAAAGGAATTTTTACCAATTTTTAACGAGCAGTCCCAAGTGTTGGTGAACTGCTTACAAAGAGAGATCACCAGGGATTTCACAGATATAGTAGAGCCCATAACGCTTTGTAGTTTAGACATCATATGTGGTAAGTCTATTTTCGACGAATTTCTTCAAATTTCGGTCCACGGCGACTTGCTGGCTATTTCTTACACATGAACTCTCTCGCTGAACTTATTTATTATTTTTTTGATAGTATTGAACAAATTCTATAAGAATTACATCGATACTTTTTATCATTCGCTTTTAACAATTTTTTATAATCTTTCTTTCTCTCTCTCTCTTTTTTTTACAAGTATTTGTGAAAATAAAAAAATTTTAACAAATATTTGTGTAAATTTACTGATTATAAGTGACACTTGACTTAAGCTGCATCTAAAAGTGAATGTCTTTATTACATTTCCTTATGTTTTCTATACATTGGTAAGTTATTTATCCCTCTTATGTGTACCGTAAGTTCCGTAGGTGCCATGGATGTTTGTAGTGATTCGGAATCCACTTTAAACCACATATACCGGTTTAATATGAGTGTAGAGAGTTGGGCGTACCTTGTAAAAAGAAAGTATCCCCTGCCTGAAAATCTGCCAGTTGGCAGACGACCTTGGCCCACCATGGGCTTCAGTGCCAAGAAGTTAGTTATTAATACCATAAACGACCCACCAACCGGTTTGAAATCAGGGTATTACCTTCTGGAAGGACTTTTAGGTGTAACTGTCGCGCTTTTGAGTATCGTACGAGATGTTCCTTTGGGAAGAAACAAACTCTAGCTACAAGTCTTTGAATGTAATGACTGCAACTCTGAATTCTAGTTATTTTTCCGTTGAACAACGATGGGCCTCGTGTTTCACTAATGTAACTGTGCTACTTATGGATAATTGTGCTAAGCTGTATTTGAATAAACCAGATGTTTTGCTTTGCAAACTTCTTTTTTTTTTTTTTTTTGCAGGCAAATAGTCGTCAAAATCAGTCAAAATAAATCTTACATAGAGTGACGATTTATAAATTTCTTGCGGCATTATAGCATTTTTTTTTTTTTGATTACGTAATTTAAATTTGTTTAAATTAAATAATTACCAATTGTTTTTGTTTTATAAAATCATAAAAATGTGGTTTATTATTGATTAACCTTGAAATCTGTTATGACTAATCCTCAATGTCCTGCAGTGCGGGATGGATATCCCATGAGTGATCTACTCATGGATGGAGGGAAAGGGCAGATTCTGTTGTGATGGATCACCCGTAGGTAGAAGTCTGACTTTTGCTCCGTGACGCTCTTACAGTCAGATGAGACCGGGACCTACGGTTTAAAGTGGATTCCGAACCACTGCAAACATCCATGGCACCGCCGGGACTTGAACCCGAAACCTGCGGCACCGAGCACCAGAGCGTTAGCCACTCGACCATTCAGGCCCACCTCGAAACCTTGTTTTACCAAGTCATCTCGATTGAAAATTCTATTTTTTTTATTTCATGAAACATGGAGAGTGGTTCTAAATTTAATGGAGTTGGATTGAGGTCATTTTCATAACATTATGTCGCAGCAATTGTTAGATGTTAAATTTTTCTCAATTTTAATTTTCGGTTGCTTACAGGTAAATTTTATTGGATGTTAAAAATAATATAACAGGAAAATTTTTATCATTTTTAAAAATATAAAAATTTTTCCATTGGCATATAAAGAAATAATTTTTTTCAGAAACTATTTTAGGTGTTAGTATTGGTGCACAAAGAAATAGTGAGTTTGAATACGTTAAATCAATATTAAGGTATGTTTTTAAACTATTAAATATTATAAACTAGTTAGTTACATTTTTTAAATAATAAAAATAAATTGTTAAAATTACATATATTCTAAATATTTGGTATCTACTTCATATTCATAACCCTTTTTCGTAATAAACTATTATATTCATTGACTGGTAAATAAATTATTATCAAATTGGTATTATTCAAATAAAAAGAATCAGAGAAAAAATTAAAAATTAAAATTGCGTTTGCTAAGTCTTTTGAAAATGCAAACTAGTAGTTCAATGGCAGAATACTTAAGCAATATCAATGGCTGAATATCCAATCAACATTTTAATATAACCAAACACATTCATTTAGAAAACTAAAATTTATTTCAGATTTAAAAATAAATTTAATTCCTTTATATAAACAGGTAGTTACATATTCTCTGATTTTTTTCAGCTACTGTTTTTTTATTGTTCTTTGCTAGCGCATGAAATTATTTTTCCCTAAACAAATAATTAATTACACTCATGTCCATAAATTAAGGATAATTCAGAATCACACAGAAATTGAACTCTAAAATAAAAATTTCACCTGTAGAATTATCACACACTTCTTGAAGAAGAATATGCAAATTACAGGAAACCACCAGATGCCGCGGATAGTACGTCACAATGACGAGCGTGTAAGAGAGGGGTATATAAGGAATGGTGGCAAAGAAATAAAATTGTTCACAAGCTCTTTAAAAGCCTTACAGTGCAATAACCGCATAGTTATGGCACAAAGGAAGCATTTGGAGGATTTTTTACGCGGTAGAATTATCGGACGACTGGAATATGGACGTACCCAGCTGGAATTATCCGAGGAACTTGGAATTGCCCAGAGTGTGATCTCCAGGCTTTGGCAACGATTCCAAGATGATGGTAATGTGAGTAGATGTTACAGCACAGGTCGCCCTCGAGTTACAACGCCGTATGAGGACCGGTATTCAGCAGGTTTGTGTTGCCAAAAAGAAACGACGAGTCCAGCATCAGACCTGTCTCGTCAGCTCTGATTCAGCAACCGGTACGACAGTTTCAAGAGCAGACCGTGTACAGACACCAAGAGAACACCATTGAAGGCTGTCAGATGTGTTCCAGGCAACTCACTGTCGCCTGCGATTAACCTGGAGGAATTATGCATTGGTTCCAGAACTAACCTGGTCTTGTGTGATGTTTTCGATGACAGGTTTAGTTTTCAGTCTATCGCCGGACTTTCATATGGAACAACAGGTACCCGTTACCACCAAGAGAACACCATGAACGCTGAATTTCGTTTATGGATGACAACCCTCCTCACCGTGCAAACTTTGTAGACGAATGCCTTCAATTGGAGGATATCACTCGTATGGATTGGCCAGCATACTCACCGGACTTGAATCCAATAGAGCATGTGGGGGATATGCTTGGCAGACGAATTGAAGCCCGTCAACCCCCTCCCACCTGTCAACCGGAACTTCGGAGGGCATTGCTTGATGAGTGGTGTAATATTCTATAAGATCAGATTGATAATTTGATACTCAGCATGCCTAGGCGTTGTAAGGCCTGTATTGCATCGTCCGGGAGACATACTCCATATTAACCATCATACTAACCATGTTATACTGTTTTTTGTAAATAGGTTCTTTTTTGAAATTTGCTCCAGGGAGTAAAAAATCGCAATTTTTATTAATTATGTCAAACATATAGCATCTTTTTGCTCTTTACCTTTTGTTTAATAAATAGACTTTACAAATAAGTCAAATTTGTTTTGCTTCTGTCTCTTTCTTTGCCTGAACTTCATTATCTTTAATTTATGGACATGAATGTAATACGTTATATATCAATAATGCGATAATCATAATAATATATAATCAATAATAATACGATATATATCAATAATAAAATAATACGATGTTCGTTCACATTCATAACCTTAAGCAGAAACAGAGAACTTGACGGGCAACATTTAGCGATATTGGATCATTGTTTGCAAATGGTTGTTCAGTGCTTTTAGGATTTCAATCTTTTTATAGGAGTGGCAGTCTCTCCAAAAAAAATTTTATAAGACCTTTCTAAAATTTAAATTGATTTATAGACTACCTTTGGTAAACATATTTTTGATAACGATAAATTAATAAATTTTACATATAAAATTTTTAAATAAAATTTAATATAAAACAATTGAAAACTGAATTATCCTCTTAATAATAATTTAACAATTAAACTGTCAACTAAATGTAAATGAAAGTAATTAAGCAATTTAAAAGATTAGGATATTAATTAAAAAGATCCAAAGATGGTTTGGGAAACTCTATTGTGTATCTCATGCATTTAGAAATTTTAAAAACTTCTCAAAATATTGGCATAGAAAATAAAGTTCATTCTATTGAATACATTTTTTTCTTTTATTTTTTTACAGAACATCTGAACTTTTATCTAAACAAATGGCTATTAATTTTCATAATATAAACTGCCTTTTGAAATTAACAGAAGAAGGTAGAGAACTGAGTAATCACTTTAAAGTACTTCACAAATTCACACGATCGGTAAGTTTGTACTTCTTAAACTAATTAGGCACTTCACAACTGGTATTGAGTTAATATTCCAATATCTGGCGACTATATGAAACTTGATATCTTTTACAAAGTACTGAATTACTGCATAAATTAAATAGAGAATATTTTTAGCGAAAATTGTAATTTATATGGTAATTTTTATTCAACATATTCTGCAGTAATTCCTTTTCACTTAATTTTTGCATTTATGTAAAAATTAAATGAGGATAGCATTTTCAAAGTTGTTTTAAAAGATTTTATTAGAGCATTATTGTTGTAACTTCTGTTCTTAAACTAGACCTATAGCGGCTTCAAGAAGAGAGACACTTTCAGGTTCATGTGAACACTTCAAATTTTATTTACAACTATTACATATGTATATATATACTGAACTCTATTTATGTGCCAATGGCCATGCCATGCTGAATATACCGGTTCTCGTTAGATCACGAAGTCAAGCATCATTTCATTGGGCGCGGTCAGTACTTGGGTGGGTGACCACCTGAGAACATAGCGTGCCGTTGGCATTCACAAATTTGGGACCTGAATGGCCGAGTGTCTAGCGCTCTGGCGCTCGGTGCCACAGGTTTCGGGTTCGAATCCCGGCGATGCCATGGATGTTTGTAGTGATTCGAATCCACTTTAAGCCGTAGGTCCCGGTCTCATATGACTGTAAGAGCGTCACGGAGCCAAAGTCAGACTTCTACCTACGGGTGCTCCATCACAACAGAAGCTGCTTCCTTCCCCTTCAATCATGAGTACGTATGGCTCGTGGGCTTGGCCAGCCAAGTGGGATAAGAAACAACAACAACTCTATTTATTATAAATTATTATTTACAAAATGAAAAAATTAAGAATTAAGTTTGATTCACAAATGCAATTCACTCCGAGAACGGAGGTTTTCAGAAATCTCGAGTCTACGAAGACTAAGCCCAGTGATTCGCTGAAATCTGCCACTGAGTGACAAGGTTTCAGGTTCGAGCCGGGCGGCATGGTGTCCCTATCTAATATGACTATTGGGCATAGGGTTGACATCCCTAACTCGTAAAAAACATCTCCTGTCTCGAAATCTGCCAGTAGGCAGACGGCCTTGGTCCACCATGGGGATGCTGCGCAATGAAGAAGTAACCTAAGAACGTCAGGTTATATACGTTAATTATTGAAAATTCCAAAATTTTATCAATATGTTAAGCATTAACCCTTTTATATACGAAGTTCTTAACAATTATGTAATTTATATACACTACCAAGATATATTTAACCATTACACATTATTAATAAATTCCTAAACAATTTTAAATTAAATCATTTATTCAGAAGCACAGAAGAAAACAATGTATTTCTTTAATAAGGGGCATAATAAATATATATTATTTGATAGTTACTGTTATTATATGTATATTTATAATCGATAAGCCTTAATATACTAAGCCTTAATTCATCATTAATATTTCTACAACTGAATACTTGTTTTTTTTATTTGTCTTTTTAGGTCATTCAAAAAAAGAAAAAGGAATTTTTACGTGATAAAAAGGAATTCGGCAATAAATGCAAGCGAAAGGCATTGATGGATATTTTGCTGGAGCATCATATCCAAACAAAAGAATTAACTGAAGAAGACATCAGAGAAGAAGTTGACACTTTTGCGTTTGAAGTATGAAGATTTACTATCGAAATTAAACCAATAATTGATAGTTCTTTTTCAATTCCTACTATTAGTTCACACTTTCCCCTATATATATATATATATATCTTGTTCAAATTTTCAAGCGTTCATAAAATACTTTTATTCATCCACTCAAGTTCAAATACATTTTTTTAAACTTGTAGTGGATGACACTTGATGTTAATACAGTTTTTCAAATATTAATTAATTAATTTTAGTTTTATATAAGAGATAAAAATTTCTTTTATATAAGATATTTAGCAGGATATAAATTAAGGAATAAATACCGTCAGTGGCGAAGCGTGTAGATCGCAAAAAAAAAAAAAAAAAAAAAATGTCTTTTTCAGAATCTTTTTTCGTTTTGGGTTCTAGTCTGAGTCAGGGAGGGAGCAAAATGGATCACCTAAGTAGTAATTGACTTAAGAAAATTTTTTTATATTAGTTGTTTATGGTTATATCATATGTTTCTCATATTTATTTTCTCATAAATTAAACTGATAATTATATAGTTCAGATGTGTTTAAACTACTACACGGGGACACAATGAATTCGACCCGTGTCACCAGAAAAAAAAATCCGTTTAACAATTATTCCGAGATAGAGTTTTACTACAAAAAGATAAAATTGTATGTAGCATGGAAATGAAAACTTTAAATGATAAATGGACTTTTCCGAAGAAAAAATTTGTGATTTTAAATTCAAACGCGTACTCTAATAAAAAAATGCAAGCCTATTAAACCTAGTATTCTAAATCTACCTATTTGCTAAGGCAAGTCTATTAAACCTAGTATTCTAAATCTACCTATTTGCTAAGGCAAGTCTATTAAACCTAGTATTCTAAATCTACCTATTTGCTAAGGCAAGTCTATTAAACCTAGTATTCTAAATCTACCTATTTGCTAAGGCAAGTCTATTAAATCTAGTATTCTAAATCTACCTATTTGCTAAGGCAAGTCTATTAAATCTAGTATTCTAAATCTACCTATTTGCTAAGGCAAGTCTATTAAACCTAGTATTCTAAATCTACCTATTTGCTAAGACAAGTCTATTAAACCTAGTATTCTAAATCTACCTATTTGCTAAGGCAAGTCTATTAAACCTAGTATTCTAAATCTACCTATTTGCTAAGGCAAGTCTATTAAACCTAGTATTCTAAATCTACCTATTTGCTAAGGCAAGTCTATTAAACCTAGTATTCTAAATCTACCTATTTGCTAAGGCAAGTCTATTAAACCTAGTATTCTAAATCTACCTATTTGCTAAGGCAAGTCTATTAAACCTAGTATTCTAAATCTACCTATTTGCTAAGTCTATTAAACCTAGTATTCTAAATCTACCTATTTGCTAAGGCAAGTCTATTAAACCTAGTATTCTAAATCTACCTATTTGCTAAGGCAAGTCTATTAAACCTAGTATTCTAAATCTACCTATTTGCTAAGGCAAGTCTATTAAACCTAGTATTCTAAATCTACCTATTTGAAGGCAAGTCTATTAAACCTAGTATTCTAAATCTACCTATTTGCTAAGGCAAGTCTATTAAACCTAGTATTCTAAATCTACCTATTTGCTAAGGCAAGTCTATTAAACCTAGTATTCTAAATCTACCTATTTGCTAAGGCAAGTCTATTAAACTAGTATTCTAAATCTACCTATTTGCTAAGGCAAGTCTATTAAATCTAGTATTCTAAATCTACCTATTTGCTAAGGCAAGTCTACTGCAATATACTAAATGCAGTACTCTAATAAACATTATGGGTATCGTTAAAAAATGCAAGTCTTAAATCTAGTATTCTAAATCTGCTAAGGCTAGTCTACGACAATATATTAAATGCAGTACCTAATAAACATTATTGGTTATCGTGACACACGAAAAAAACTATAAATTAACAACTGCGATCGACTAAAAATCAATTGATGATAATATTTTAAATATTTTTAATACAGTACTAGCAGATATTGGCCGGCTACGTAAGATGAGGAATTTTTTTTTGTTTCCATAAGCATGCTAATAAAATATTTAAAAATTTTAAATACTAATTTTTCGGATCGAATAAATAAGTTTGTACAACATGATAACAATTGTTTGCTAGCAATCTTCTACACAAATTCATATGTAAACATGAAAATTAAACAAAAGTCCCACATTTATTCACAATTTCAATCATGCAATCGTGTAAGGAATTTGATAAATATTATGAATAAAAAGAACAGATGCAGGTAATAACACCAGCAGGATCGAGGTATCATTCTGGAATTTTTGTGTGTATATAAGTATGAATAAGGATCTAAAGGATGCATGCTATACAGAGCAATTAAATGAATAAATATTTGAAATAAAAAATTTATATTAAAAACACTGGGCTCCGTGTATTTGTATGAATAATAAAAACTAAACTTTTTTTATAATTAAAAAATAACATAATAAATTTTTTTCATTATTTTTGACTACACGTTAGATAAAACAATAATAAATTTCTAAAAAAAATAAGAACTTCAAGTACTTAAGCTTTTGGAAAATAACAACAGATCAGCAAAATATGTAAAAATTAAATTTGAGTGTTAAAAATTTACAGTATTTGTTTCCGAATATTTGCCGCCTTGATATTAGGCTCTTCACCACAGGAAAAGAAGATATCTCGCAGATTGTTCTGTGTAGTTCATAAGAAAACCTGATACATAGTAATCACATTTTTGTTGTTATTATTGTTGTTGAACATTGTTTAGCCTCCTGTTCCAATTACACGACCCACTGGCGTGTTATAAGAAAATGATAATGCATTTAATACCAAAGAGGAAAATGAGGGAGAAACGGAAAAAAAATTTGAGAAGTCTGGGGAAAAATAAAAGGAAAATTAGAGAAATTTAGGGGAAAATATGATTTTAGGTAAAATGTGAAAACTCCCAGACTAATTTTCAATGTGATCCACTTTACTCATGTTGTGAAAATTAACATCTTTTCTCCTCGTTTTTGAAAGTAGAGAATTCAATGGACGCCGCCAACGCATTCAAAACAAACCTATTTAAAAAAAACTGGGCCCATTATTATTGGTAACGAAGGGCCTGAATGGCCACGTGGTTACAGGCCCCACAGGTTTCGAGTTCGAATCCCGTCAGGGCCATGGATGCTTGTAGTGGTTCGGAATCCACTTTAAACTGTAGGTCCCGGTCTACACTGCGTAAAAAAAAAATAGAAGGACTGTGTTTTTTTGCCAATTAATATCTCTTATTTTCTCCTAACTACCAAATATTTATGCAGACTTGGGGGTGTAGAGTGGAAGTTTCAGCAAGACGGAGCTTCCATTCACACCGCCACTGAGTCAAAAAATTGGTTCCTAACAAATAATGTAGATGTTTTACCAGGCCAACCAAAAGTCCTGACCTTAATATAGTGGAAAACATCTGGGCAATGCTAGTTCGTCGAGTTTATGCTGATGGAAGCTGATTGCATTATGCTGATGGAAGCTGCTGATTCAGCTTCGAGTAGCGTTGAATGACTCGTGGGACAATTTTTGCCAAACAGAAGTTAAATCTCTATACAATTCACTTCCAAACAGAATATTTGAAGTTATAAAGGCCAATGGGAAGAACATTCCTATTAAAATCACTATTTTTTCATTCATTATAATGCTGTCCTTCTACTTTTTTACAAAGTTTCAAAAAAAGAGAAACTATTTTTGTTGCCATTAATATTTTATGTTTGAATATCATAATTCTGATGTTAAAATTGTATTTTTAAAATATTTGTAAAATGTTTCTAATAAAATTTTTAGTAAAAATAGAATATTTTTCGGTTATTGTTACAAAATCAAGTGTCCTTCTACTTTTTTTACGTAGTGTAACACGATCATAGACGTTGC